GTTATCATTTTTTTAAGGATTAACGAGATATGAATTACACATCACTATTTTAAGAGAAGATTGAGGTACAATATTGTATAGTATATATATTAGATTGATGACATTCGCTTTTAACTTGGCTTTCACTTGTAACTATAGTTTTAAACAAATAAAAATACGAGTTTAAGCAGCACGATAGTTTAAAAGTGAATTTAAAAAATGATATTCTTCTTTTTTGCATTTCGTTATATATAGCTACTTTTTAAGTTATCTAACTTACTTAAAGAACTTTAGTAAAGATTTCGGCACACGGTCAATGCTTTTATTCAGTCCTATTATATTTCATTTCTATTCATAGACTAATTTACTTATCAACTGTGTCGTTAGCAGGGGATGGACTACACATCGTTGTATAATAAAATAAATATTCGCCTGACTTCAATGGCAGTTTCTTTAATATATGAACCCCTTAGATACAATTTTTCACTTTTTTGAGATTTCTTGAAATCAGTTCTTTTTCTTATTTCTTTTTTTTTATTATTTTTTATATATTTCGTTTATTGAGTTATTTCGCTGATTTTATCAACTAGGGTCTATGATCTAAGGAAGTAACGTATAGTAAGTAGCTCAATATAAGAAATCCTCATGACATCATCAGCATTTTCATTACTCATATTTTGCGTGTCTGTAGTACAGACAAAGCGGATAATGGATGGAGTGCTGCCGATGTGTGTGTGCTGTGCTGTCAATATGGACCACAATGGATGTTTATTTAAAGTCAAACCATCGATTATGATATGGTATGTAACGAAACACGCGTTGTACCAAAGACTAGTAGCAGTACAATAATTAATTAAATATCAATCACATACCAAACACGAACGCAAGACCGACCAACCAGGGATAACCCTTAAACAGACAGTTTGATTTCGACAGATTATTACATATAAAAAAAATAATGAGTCTATAACTGGTATAGCCTAGACTGAACTAGTTCGGCCTGAGCTCGATAAGATACATATACCAGTTTGGGTTAGGTCAAACTAGTTGACCACGCATAGAACAGGATATACTATTAAAGGCTATCGGAAAATAATTTAATTAAAACGAATGTAGCAGATGTAAAATAAGATTCCAGAACACCATAATGGTTTGCAGTACATTTTTTTATTTTAATTAAAAAAGATTTATAAAAACACGCTTGAGCGACTAGTGTCGCTCATGAAACATCAGTGGTATGCCATTTATATTCTGAACGATATCTGAAGTTGGTACAACTGGTGGTCTTCTTACTGTTTCTGGGGCTGGTGTGACAGAAAATTTAGAAAGGATGGCAGCTAACCCAGCTAATGATTGCATTAATCCAAGGCGTGCACCTTAAAAAAAAAATGTTTTAGTTGAATAATTTTTAAAATTCGAAAACCACAAATAAATACGAAAACCTTTATTTTTATCAAAATTGACCTGCCTAACACCCGGTTTCTGAATTGAGAATTTGAAGTTTAGCACGTCTCAAACCGTGCTTAAGCCATTTTAAACGTTATTTTAACAGGTTTTCATTACTGAAATATAATTTTTTAATGATCAGTTGATAGCAGTTTTATAAAACTAGGACTTTTTGCTAAATAAAACGTAAAAAACTTAAGTTATTGAGAATAATCAGTTGAGATTTTGTGCTTTTCTCAATTCAGAAACCGGCCGTAAGCCGCACTGAATAAAGATTTTTAAATAATGGGAAAAGTTTCTATTCAAGTGTGGAATCGTAGTAGATAGTCAAGAACAATAGTATTCAAAATTGCAACACTTTTTAATTTTGGAACCCACCTCTTAACTTTACTTGAGATAAAGAGGCTAAGGCTGGAGTTCACCGTCAGTCGGTTAAACATTGATTAAGAAATCGGTCGATGAAATTGTAACCGTTGTTTAAACAGCAATTAAAAAATACGAGATAAATAGATATAAATCAATATATTTTCACTTTGGTCAACCTATAAATTCAAATAATAGAGCACTAGAACAAAGAAAACGAGCACATGGAACAAAACAATAAACTCGTTTTGGAAATGATTTTGTTTAGTGTGTATTGTATCGCATGAAATAAAAAAAGATCGTTATGGGAGAAATTGAATTAAAAGTAGATTAATAGTTTGTCGAAATGGAAAAAAGCGCACCTCAAATTTCATTAGCGACGAGGAGCGCGTATTAACGGAATTGGTGCTCAGATATAAATCCGTACGAGTTTACAATTTTTGTTATTTCTTATGTTACATATGTATAAAGTATGTAACATATGTATAAAGGTTGTGTGATAAAATGTTTTATATTCATAATTTATTACGTTTTGTTAAATTTAACTCCTTTGTACATTATTGTGTCATAAGAGACTCAATATATTTACTAATTAATAATCTCCTAACTGGATTTAAACCTGTTCTTGTACCATTATTTACTGAGCGTTGTTGTTTTGTTGTGCCACTATGATAGGTATATTAATCCAGGTTGTTAAGCAATTCTAGATCCCAATACTTTTGGTAATTATCTAGAATATTAAATACTGACTGCATTTTAATTTTATTTATATGATAAGTTATAAACACAGAGCAAAAGACGACAAATAATGACTTAAGTCAATATAGTCAATGTTTAAACGAGTTGTAGGGCTTGATTAAGTTAATCGGCTGATTATAGATCTAATCCATTGGTTAGTGTGTGGTGAACGCAAAAATGTCTTTAATCAACCGATTAAGTACTAATCAGTTGATTAGAAAGTCGGTCAACTCCAGCCTAAATAATCTAATATACTCGTAAATATCGATATTAATAAGATTATCCAATGGCAAGTCGTATTTAAAGCTGTTTTATTTGATAAAAGTGTAATAAGCATCAGTGCAAACACAAACTTTGTAAATTTTTCTAGAACACAATCTATAAAAAAAAAAAAAACATATTTAATATCCCAAAACAATTTGGGATAGTGACATTTTAACAATTATGATTTATAAACACGTTACACACATAACTGAACAAAATTTAATTGTAGAAAAGAAGATTATATGCATCACATACCAATACAGACTCGGGGTCCATCGCCAAATGCAAGATATACATCTTTTTGAACATTTGTAAATTCTTCATTACTAAATCTTTCCGGGCGGAATTCTTCTGGATTATGCCAATATTTAGGGTCTCTATGTAAAGCTGCTACAGATATCATCATCTTTACTCCTTCATCGATACTGAAGCCCAAATCTTCAAATGTGTACTTACGAGTGCATTCCCTCATTAAATAACCCAATGATGGAAATATACGCATAGCCTCCTTAAATGTCCACTCTAAATATGTCATTTCTTTAACGGCAGCATAACTTAGTTTGTTATCATGCTTCTTTAAAACTTCGTCAATCTCATTTTGAACTTTCTTCTGTATTTCTGGATGGAATGCCAGTTCATGCAGGGTGTAGCTAGTAGCAGATGATGAAGTTTCAAATCCCGCACTAAAAAATAATATGACTTGAGCCACAATCAAATCATTAGTGAGTTCAAACTTTAATTTTTCTGGTTTCCCAGTTGCTTGTAATTTCTCCATTGACTCAATTTCTATAGGGCCTTTTTGTTTATAGTATAAAAGCTGATCTACGAAATCGTTTCTGCCAATCGGTTTATAATTTCTACTTTGTTGAATTTTATTGACAAGGTCAAACGATCGTTTCTCAATATGACCAAAAAATTTCAAATCCTTGAATAGCACAGGGAAAAGCATTTTTAAGGTACTCGTAATAATAGTTGTGAGAGGAGGATTAAACACATCTCTGCCAAGCCTTCTAAAATCACTGTTATCGTCATTAATAGAATTACTGTCAAGTCCAAAACCACATGCGCCAATAAAATCTGTTGTAAAACGGGCCATAAGCTCACGAGCATCTATAGGAAGATTTTTTTTTACTGCCAGTAATGTTCTTTGTTGAAGACTCTCAGCTCGTTCCACAATTAGTGGAAACATAGCTTTCAGTTTGCCGCTTGTGAATGCGGGTGTCATCTGTATCCTTAACATTTTCCACAAATCTCCCTCGACGAAGAATAAGCTTTGTATCAATTTTTCGATATTTTGTTTGTACGGATGGAATCCACGCCCGTAGAAGTAAGAAAAATCTGATATTAGGATCTTCTTAATTATTTCTGGATCTCTTGTTATCAATTCTGGCGTAGTGGATCTAAAAAATCCAACCACTTTTTCATCGGGGTACTTAAAATACATTTCTTCTGTTATTTCACTTCTACTTTTCAATAAAAGAAAATTTTTTGAGTTGGTCCCGAAAAAAAGTATGGGTTTGTCATGTTTGACGCCTCTCTTCTTCCAATAATCAAAGTTTCTCACATTATAATAGTATAAACAAATTAAAGCTATTGCAATTATTGCGATTAACATTTTAATTGTTTACTTGTTCACTTTCCGAACGCTCACATCAAACTGATTTTAAACAGAAAAAAACACACACAAAAATATAAATCAGGTCCGCTATCAATGTTTGTATATGAGCACTTAAAAAGCAGTTTCATAACATTTATATCACAGAGATAATGTTGTTTTTACTAGCTAATATCTTTTACTTTTTTGGCTGATTCTGTCGTATTATATTGTATTCTAGACTAAGCTTAGAAACGGGATGTTGGTAGCAATTCTTTTGCAGAAACTAGATATAAATCTAGTTTTCGCCTTGATAACCTTCGCATAGTTGACACTTTGATTTCGACAAAATATTATATATAAAAAAATATGAGTCTATAACTGGTATAGCCTAGACTGAACTAATTCGGCCTGAGCTTGATTAGATATACCAGTTTGGGTTAGGTCAAACTGGCCAAATTAGTTGACCCTGATATAAACAAGCATAGAACAGGATATACTATTAAAAGCTAGTGGAAAATAAACTAATTAAAACAAATTTGGTTCTAAAAAACCATAATGGATTGCAGTACATTTTTTTATTTTAATTAAAAAATATAAAAACACGCTTGAGCGACTAGTGTCGCTCATGAAACATGAGTGGTATGACATTTATATTCTGAACGATATCCGAAGTTGGTACGACTGGTGGTCTTCTTACTCTTTCTGGGGCTGGTGTGAAAGAGAATTTAGAAAGGATGGCAGCTAACCCAGCTAATGATTGCATTAATCCAAGGCGTGCACCTGAAAAAACAAAACAATTGTTTTAGTTGAATAATTTTGAAAATTCGAAAAAAAAAAGTATACGGTGAGAAAAATTTCTATTCAAGTGTGAAAACGTAATAGATAGTCTAGTACAATAGTCTTCAAAATTGGTAGTGCAGCAACTCCAGTGGCAAGTCGTATTAAAAGCAATTTTATTTCATAAAAGTATAATAAATATCAGTACAAATCAACTTTGTAATTTTTTCTAGAACACAATCTGTATAAAAATTAAGTTTTTATTTCCCAAAACAATTTGGGATAGTGATATTTTAACAATCATCATCATCATCATCATCATCATCATCATCATCATCATCATCAGCCCTTTTAGGTCCCCACTGCAGGGGCTCAGGCCTTCCTTATGGATGGTTAAGGAGGATGGGCCATGACCCTCCACGCTGGCCCAATGCGGATTGGAGGGTATTAACGACCGCAAATGCAGCCGGGACCAACGGCTTAACGTGCCTTCCGAAGCACGGAGTAGCTCGAGATAATGATTTTTCGGTCACCCATCCCGTGACAGACCCTTGCGAAAGTTGCTTAGCGACAACGATCGTGGGCCGCGGCGCTTATTCACTACGCCACCGAGCTTCTTAGTATTTATGATTCATATTTTAACAATTATGAATCATTAATACATTACACACATAATTGAACTAGATTTAACTGTAGAAAAGAAGATTATATGCATCATATACCAATACAGACTCGAGGTCCATCGCCAAATACTAGATATACATCTTTTTTAACATTTGTAAACTCTTCCCTACTAAATCTTTCCGGGCGGAATTCTTCTGGATTATGCCAATATTTTGGGTCTTTATGTAAAGCTGCTACAGATATCATCATCTTTACACCTTCATCGATACTGAAGCCCAAATCTTCAAATATGTACTTACGAGTGCATTCCCTTATTAAATAATCCAATGATGGAAATATACGCATAGCCTCCTTGAATGTCCATTCTAAACATGTCATTTCTTTAACAGCAGCATAACTTAGTTTGTTATCATGCTTCTTTAAAACTTCATCGATCTCATTTTGAACTTTCTTCTGTATTTCTGGATGGAATGCCAGTTCATGCAGGGTGTAGCTAGTAGTAGATGATGAAGTTTCAAATCCCGCACCAAAAATAGCATGACTTGAGCCACAATCAAATCATTAGTAAGTTCAAACTTTAATTTTTCTACTTTCCCAGTTGCTTATAATTTCTCCGTTGACTCAATTTCTATATGGCCTTTTTGTTTATAATCTAAAAGCTGATCTATGAAATCATTTCTGCCAATCGGTTTATAATTTCTACTTTGTTGAATTTTATTGACGAGGTCAAACGATCGTTTCTCAATATGACCAAAAAATTTCAAATCCTTGAATAGCACAGGGAAAAGCATTTTTAAGGTACTGGTAATAATAATTGTGAGAGGAGGATTAAACCCATCTCTGCCAAGCCGTCTAAAATCACTGTTATCGTCATTAATAGAATTACTGTCAAGTCCAAAACCACATGCGCCAATAAAATCTGTTGTAAAACGGGCTGTAAGCTCACGAGCATCTATAGGAAGATTTTTTTTTACTGCCAGTAATGTCCTTTGTTGAAGATTCTCAGCTCGTTCCACAATTAGTGGAAACATAGCTTTCAGTTTGCCGCTTGTGAATGCGGGTGTCATCTGTATCCTTAACATTTTCCACAAATCTCCCTCGACGAAAAATAAGTTTTGTATCAATTTTTCAATATTTCGTTTATACGGATGGAATCCACGCCCGTAGAAGTAAGAAAAATCTGATATTAGGATCTTCTTAATTATTTCTGGATCTCTTATTATCAATTCTGGCGTAGTGGATCTAAAAAATCCAACCACTTTTTCATCGGGGTGCTTAAAATACATTTCTTCTGTTATTTCACTTCTACTTTTCAATAAAAGAAAAATTTTTGAGTTGGTCCCGAATAGTAGAAGATCCGAACCTAAATCGACCTTCACCGGGTTGATAATGAAATAAAACTTATTGTATAATTAATTTAGTATATTAGAAAATATATTAAAAATGGGTTGGCTAAAAAAATCCTGGGCAGAATATTTTTAATTATTTTTTTAAAAAAATGTTTTTATTATATATTGCAACATCAAGATAATAAGAAAAATTTAATTCTGACTTAAAGTATAAAACATATAGAATGTGCAGACGTTGGGTTGTCTATTATTTACCTGGACGAACTACTGGGTTGTCAGGTATAAACAGGTATATCGATGCCAGTTAATTTCACTTGATTTGATAATTAAAAAAAAAATATATCAACATAAGCGCTGTTTCATTACGAACACATTGATATAGGGTTGTCTGCAAAAAATTCGGTCCTAATACGGGTTTGCGAATTTTAAAAATTAAAATTTTAACGCGTGGGAAAGTGAGTGACAGAGAGATCCGAGGAAAGTATTTTTATAACAGGTAATATGGTAACCTATAAAATCGAGTGCTGCTTTAGTAAGCTCAACTTCATGATATTTAAAGTTTTTGTTTTTACGAAAAGCTAGCTTCAACGAACAATTTTTAAAAGTTTCAACAGTAAAATCATTTAAAGAATCGTCCGAACCACACAAAAAACACTTTTTAGCCATTTTTTATTACAACAATACAGAATAACATACTCCAAAATAACGTGCTCTGTTTACTATACCTCCACCCCCATATTTTACATTCCGAGCATGCGCACTTTCATATATTCAGGGTCCGATCAGATGCAACTGCAATGTTGGGTCCTTTACTATTACACGGTATACTTTCCTCGGATCTCTCTGTCACTCACTTTTCCACGCGTTAAAATTTTAATTTTTAAAATTCGCAAACCCGTATTAGGACCGAATTTTTTGCAGACAACCCTATATCAATGTGTTCGTAATGAAACAGCGCTTATGTTGATATAATTTTTTTTAAATTATCAAATCAAGTGAAATTAACTGGCATCGATATATCTGTTTATACCTGACCACCCAGTAGTTCGTACAGGTAAATAATAGACAACCCAACGTCTGCACATTCTATATGTTTTATACTTTAAGTCAGAATTAAATTTTTCTTATTATCTTGATGTTGCAACATTTAATAAAAAAATATTTTTTAAAAATAATTAAAAATATTCTGTCCAGGATTTTATTAGGCAACCCATTTTTAATATATTTTCTAATATACTAAATTAATTATATAATAAGTTTTATTCCATTATCAACCCGGTGAAGGTCGATTTAGGTTCGGATCTTAGACTAGAAAAAAAGTATGGGTTTGTCATGTTTGACGCCTCTCTTCTTCCAATAATCAAAGTTTCTCACATTATAATAGTATAAACAAATCAAAGCTATTGCAATTATTGCGATTAACATTTTAATTGTTTACTTGTTCACTTTCCGAACGCTCACACCAAACTGATTTTAAACAGAAAAAAAACACACACAAAAATATATAAAGCGTTCACTATCAATGTTTATTTATAAGCACTTAAAAGCGATTTCATAACATTTATGAGATAATGTTGTTTTAACTAGCTTATATATTTTATCTCTTTTGGCTCTAGATAAATAAATATATAAGAACATCACATACATTGCTCAGATTCCAATATGAATACACTTTATTGCACACGATACAAACAGGATAACAATTTGAAAATGCGGTATAAAAATAGAATGTGCACAAAAAGCGGCCTTATTGCTAAACAGAAATTTCTTCCAGGCAACCAATGGAAGCGAAAAGTTAAAATATGGGGTATTCGGTACAAAGATCAGAAGGATATGATAAGATATTTCTGTATATATAAATGGGTGGTTAAATTAGCGCTTAGCGTGTTGATGTTTGTGTTCTTCAGCATGTTAAAGTATTTTAGTCATTTCGAACAAGTACTTCAAACTCGGTTGATGTACTTGTTTAAAATATATTCAAAAGGAAATAACTAAAACCTAGTTGTACTAAAAGTAGTAAACATATTAAATTTTAGTACACAAGAGTACAATTATAATACTTATCTATATGTCACTTCGCTACGAAAATAATTTAAAATGATTTACTATAGATTTTTAATATTATTCGATACGTTGGTAATATAATATTATACGATGATGTTGGACGACTTAAAATTGATATTTATCGCTTTTATCTCAACTGAAATAGAATATAATGACATAAAAAATTTGTAATTTAATGTTTCATTCGAGAGCTGGCTAGTTCCATAGTAGATATATAATATCTTGTAGATTTTATATTTGTTTTTTATGACATTTAATTTTAATCTATACTATAATAAAAAAAGGAACTGATCGATGTCTGTATATTGAACATATATGAAAATAACTGTTATGAGGGACATTTATAAGCGTAATAGAACACAAAACAATGATTTTAATTTTTTTTGTCTGTTTGTCGGTTTGTCTGTCTTGTCTGCACAAACGCACGATATTCTCTGAAACGGCTGAACCTATTTATATGCAATTTCACTATTATATTGCGGTATTCTTCCGTTAACATTAAGTGTAAAATTTATTTCAATCAGTTCACAAATAAAAGTTATGTCAATAGAAGTGACATGTTCGCCAAAATTGCTATGAAATATTAACAATTTCATTAAATTTTCATCTTTGATATATTGATCATCATCATCAACTCTTTCAAAGCTAAACTGCAGAGCCTCAGGCCTTTGTTTAATAGCTTTTCGTCACCCATCCCGTGAACAACTCTTGCGAAAATTGCTTAGCAATAGCGATCGTGTGCAGCGACGCTTATCCATAGTGCTGCCGAGCTACCAAATAATATTGTTTATAAAATAATAATTTGTATGATGACAAATAAAAAAATAAGATTTCAAAATTTTGACTACTCCGAATGAGGAATGAGGTCAACTTACTAGTTAACCTCATTTACATATGGCCAATCATATTAAATAGGGTTCAGCTTATAATGGAGGTGTGGTATATGATCACGCGAGTAGGAGAACAAGCGAAAAGAGTCGTCCGATGATCCAATTAAGCATCGAATAGTTTACAGTGAACGCATATTTTTATTAGATTTTCGCATTGCACGGATTCGTTTGTCTGAGAGAGACACTCGATTTACCCGAGCCTCTCTAATTTTCCATCTGCAAGGGGACCAATAGTCCAATACTTGAATGTCCTGGTGACTCGGCCATAGCTTGCCGGGTTTCATCTCCCATGAGAGGGTGTAGCGTACGAGTTTTGGTGGGTAGGCTTCTGGAGACCCACTGATAAACTCACTGTCGGGTTCACGAAGGAGAATCCTACTCACCTCCTGTTGCTTGCCAGGAAACAGAGACAATGTCAGAAGCTATTCCACGACGTTAAAAAAGTTAGATTCACGTCAACTGAAGTAAAGAACGTAAAGACAACTCGAGTTATATATTTTTTTCTATTTTTACTATTTTTTATGTTAATACTCTTTTTGTTTTTTTTTTTTTTTTAACATACAAATTGCTGTAGATACTTAATTCAAAGTTGGTATTTTCAGTATTCGCTGGAAACAATGGTTTATTAATTGGTCACAACACTCATATAATAATACGCGAGTCTAAGGGTCGGTTCAGAGTAGCTCGGTGGCGTAGTAATTATTCACAAGCGCCATGGTCCGCGATTGTAGTTGTTAAGCAACATTCGCAAAGGTCGGTCACAGGACAGGTGACCAAAAAAATATTATCTCAAGTAACTCCAAGCTTCGTAAGGCACGTAAAGGGATTGGTCCCGGTTATATTTGCGGTGGTAAAATTCATCCAATCCGCATTGGGATCCGCATCCATAAGGAAGGCCTGAGCTCCTGCAGTTGGTGACGTAAAAGGGCTGATGATGATGATGAGGGCCATTCAAATTGGACGGAAGCTCAGTTAAGCACCTCTCGGAAGTATGTCTTAGTAGGACCGGACCCTCTTTGCAGGATACCGGGTTCTTCCACTTATCGCGTGAAGCAGCGGGTTTTATCAGGTAGGCCAACCACACTAACCAGCCCTTTTCAGGGCAGGGTGGTTGGAGAGCCCTGATTTCAGACTTAAGGTGCATTTTCCCTGCGTTATCAAAAAAAAAGTCTTAGTAGACGATTTCCTTCAAGTGTGGAAAGTCTAAATTAAAATATGTATATATTTTTTTATATCAATAAATAAAACTCCACGTATCTTCCGACAGCCATATACCGACTGATTTTATTGCCAAAGAAAAATATTGGCCGTAAAGCGCTAGGTCTGGGAGACACCTGAAAAATGCGAAGCGTATTTAACTGCACATCGTGAGGCTCATGCACTATAAAGTTGTACCTAAAGCATTTACCATCAGGGACAATCTCTTGAGCTCTCGGAGAACTCATACAAGAAGCGTTTGATCTCAGGAAACTTCTGAAGATCGCATAGCGCGTCCACTCGCACACTCGCACTCTCTATCGTAAATATCTCTACCACTGGGTTCATACAGCGTTATTCTGCACATTTACTACTATTTTTAAATATTATACATTAAATACAATGCATATAGAGCCGTTAAAAGTTAAAACAAAATGCTTTTTTTTTCAATTTTCTATGCTTAAAACGTAAACTACAAACAAAAAAAACATGGCCTTTCTGTTGCAGTCAGGTAAAACTACTAGAAAACTTGTACAATTAATGTCACGTGAAAACGGTATTGAAACTCTTTGTGTTTTCAGTTTAGTCGCTAATATATTCATAGTAACAATAAAAGTTTTTGTTTTTAATTAGTGATTTTATATCAACTTAATCATCTATACTATAATAAAAACGTAACCGATCGATGTCTGTACATTGAAGATATATGAAAAAAACTGTTATGAGGGACATTTATAAGCGTAATAGAACACAAAACAATGATTTTTAATTTTTTTGTCTGTTTGTCTGTTTGTCGGTTTGTCGGTTTGTCTGTTTGTCTGTGCGTTTGTGCACGATAATCTCAGAAATGGCTTAACCGATTTAAATGCAGTTTTCACTGTTATATTGCGACATTCTTCCGTTAACATTTAGTGTAAGATTTATTTCAAAAGTTATGTCAATTTGAAGTGACGTGGTCGCCAAAATTGCTATGAAATATTAACTGTTTTATTAAATTTTCGTCTTTGATATATTGATTATCATCATTTACTCTTTCACAGCCAAACTGCAGGGCCTCAGGCCTTTGTATAATAATATTTGGTCACCCATCCCGTGAATAACTCTTGCGAAAATTGCTTAGCAATATCGATCGTGCACAGCGGTGCTTATCCGTCGCGCCACCAAGCTACGAATTAATATTGTCTATATAACGATAATTTGTATGATAACAAATAAAAAAAAATGAAATTCCACAATTTTGACTATTCCAAAGTAAGTTGACCTCTTTTGTATATGGCCAATTGTATTAAATAGGGTTCAGCTTATAATGGACGTGTGGTATACTATCACGCGAGTAGAAGAACAAGGGAAAAGAGCTTTCCAAAGATGCAATTAAGCATCGAGTAGTTTATAGTGAACGCATATTTTTATCAGATTAGGTCCCCGACGACTATGTCGGGGCCATCGGAGGTGGTTGGCAGCCACCCCCGCATTACACGGTTTCGTCTGTCTGGGAGAGGTACTCGATTTACCCGAACCTCTCCAATTTTCCATCTACAAGGGAACCAATGGTCCATTACTTGAGTGTCCTGGTGACTCGGCCATAGCTTGCCGGGTTTCATCTCACATGAGAGGGTGTAGCGTACAGATTTTGGTGGATAGGCCTCTTGGGACCCACTGAGCAGATCACTGTCAGGTTCACGGAGGAGAATCCTTCTTACCCCCTGATGCTTGCCAGGTAACAGAGACCATGTCAGAAGCTTTTCCACGGCGTTAAAAAAGTTAGATTCACGTCAACTGAAGTTAAGAACGTAAAGTCAACTCGAGTTATTTTTTTTCTCTTATTACTATTTTTTATGTTAATACTCTTTTTGTTTTTTTTTTTTAACATACAAATTGCTGTAGATACGTACTTCAAAGTTGGTATTTTCAGTCTTCGCTGGAAACAATGGTTTATTCATTGGTCACAACACTCATATAATATTAGGCGAGTCTGAGGGTTGGTTCAGAGTAGCTCGGTGGCGTAGTGAATAAGCACCATGGCCCGCGATTGTAGTTGTTAAGCAACTTTTACAAAGGGCAGTCACAGGATGGGTGAAAAAAAAAATTCTCAAGCAACTTCAAGCTTCGGAAGGCACGTTAAGCGACCCGGTTGTATTTGCAGTCGTCAATATCCTCCAATCCGCATTGGGCCAGCATGAAGGGTCGTGGCCCATCCTCCTAAACCATCCATAAGGAAGGCCTGAGATCCTGCAGTTGGTGACCTAAAAAGGCTGATGACGATGATGTTGATGATGATGGCCATTCAAATCTGACGGAAGCTCAGTAAAGCACCTCTCGGAAGTATGTGTTAGTAGACGATTTCCTTTGTGTGTGGAAAGTCGAAATTAAAATATGTATATATTTTTTTATATCAGTAAATTCATGTACCGACTGAATTTTATTGACAAAGAAAGAGATCGGACGGAAAGCGCTCAACGCGAGGCTCATGCACTAAAGTTGAATCTGAAGCATTCACCGTCAAAGACAATCTCATGAGCTCTCGGAGAACTCATACAACAAGTGTTCGATCCTAGGAAACTTCTGAAGATCGCATAGCGCGTCTAATTGCTGATTGTAACATACATGCAGTATGGTATGAGTATAAAACTTCCTTTGGTAGAGAAATGCGCTTGGTCTCTGAAAGAGCTCGCAGTTTGCACAATAGAGATCGAGAAAGTAGTTTCGATTAGCGCCAACCCGTGTTGCCTTCATATTCCACAGGCGTACCGCAGATGAGTTTTCACAGGGTACAATGAACTAGCTGTTTTCCCGCGATTTTGGCACAAAATTATAGCCTATGACATCCGCGTCTGATGTAGCTTCCCGTAGGTGGGAATCGCTCTGAAACTATCTGTCCAGTAGTTTTGGAGCAAATTCGATGCAAACAAACAAATAACCAAATCTTTCCTCTTTATAATATTAGTATAGCTTAGGTATAAGAGGTCCGATGGCGTAGTGAGTTAGCGCGTTCGGTTTAAATTACAGTTAAATAAGTAAGTAAATACTGCACAACAAGGACATACATGAATACTTATATTACATATCTAACTAGAAAGGACAAACTCATCGCTAGCCAGCGATTTCTTCCAGGCAACCTAGCATTACATGGAAAATACAACAATAAATAGCTGATTATGCATACAACTAGACAAATAATGATAATTTAAAAAGATCAAAAACAAAAGAAGGACAGTTTAAAGATATAATATATAAAGAATAAAATGCTTAGATACAAGCGACAACCAGAGCGAGAAACGAGAAAAAAATAACATTCGTAAGGACCGTTCACAGGAGGAGTGACCAAAACCATTATTATCTTGAGCATTGTGCACAACACTGGCACAATGCACGTAAAGCCATTAGTCCTGACTGCATCAGTAACGTTAACACTCACCGATCCGCATTAAGCCCTTATTCTGTTCGACTCCATTCATAGGAAAAAAAGAATTCTACCAAAATACTTCCCACGCAGACGAAGTTGCGGGCACAGCTAGTTTAAATATATGGCTACGTTACATTAATCACAATTATGCCCACGAAACGACAAACCAAAAGAAATAATCATATTTTCAATTTCAATAACATGTGAGTAAAAATGTTTAATAATATGAATAAAAGAAAGCGATCTACTAATATTCATAACGACCAAATAGAAATTGTGTTTAGAAAAATAAAAAAAATTGTGATTAATTCAATAGAGTCCACGCCTTCGGAGTTAGAACAATATGGAAGAATATAGTCATCATTTAGTAAGGAACGACGATGTACGAAGTAGAAAACGAAAGTAAGTTTAAAAAATTATATTATACTATATATTTTTTTTTACGAAACAACAATAAATGTCCAGAAAATAAATATACCGAGCTCATATTTATCTTGACTTTTGTGTGTAGATATTTACAATTTAAATTAAACTATAACCCGACTCAAGTCGATTGTAAATAAACAAGGGCATCAAGTATGTACCCACTTCACCAATATGTCAAAAATGATTATATATCTTTAATAACGTAATTAAATATTTGAATTGGAAATTATTTTTAAACAAACAAACACACAACGGCTCAGGTGAAACTAAATAAAAGCTTGTTGCTTAGTAGGATTGACAATAGGGATGATGACTAATTTTTGTTTGTTTGTCCGTCAGGTAGTGTTAAAAAACATTAAACACGTATTTTTTTTTAATCATAAAATTACGGTGTAACATTGAGTTGAAATTTCGCATGACGTCACGTTAGAGTACGTTTTCTACTCAACTGTGACGTAGCGAGCCCCCACTCCTCAACTTTAATGCCTGTTATCTAAGCTATTTCTTGTTAAATTGAAGTTAAAAAAAAATACGTATCTAATATTTTTCTATTATCTGTCTGACGGACTAAATAGAATTGCATTTTTTTTACCCAGTCATCATCCCTATTGCATGCTATTGATATATGGCTAACGTAAGTACATAATTAAAGATAACCTCCCCTTCAATGTAATCTACCTTAATTATAGCAAATAAAAAATTATTACTAATAATATTATATTATACTAATCAACTACACCTACTAATTACATTTAACTATATCCCAACGTAAATCGCGTGTGGATAGACAAAGACGTCATTGAGTAGGTAACTCTATTTCACAAACTCTGTCATAGTGATCGATTACAACTAATATTTACATTTAACTATACACCTTTGTGAAATAAAAACATAATCAGTACCTATTTAGATCATTATGATTCAACGGATAGACAATAAAGCTCCCCCTTGTATGTTGATCTATCTTCTAGAGATATCTGTCAAAAATATAATCTCAAAATTGAAGAGATTTCTGTATTAGTAACGATTCTCTGAAGTGTCCGTTAATTATTTAGAATTTGAGACGAATATGTTAATAAGTCCAAGAGTATACGTCAATTAGAACAGGGTCTATGATCTAAGGAGGTAACGTATAGTAAGTAGATCAATGTAATAAATCCTCATGACGTCATCAGTATTTTCATTAGTGTAGACGAAGCAGTTAGTGGATGGAGTGTAATTCAAATTCATAAAAAATATGGCAAGTGTGTTGTCTATATGGACCACAATGGACGTTTTTTTAAAGTCAAACCGTCGATTAAGATATGGTATGTAACGAAACATACGGTGTATCAAAGACTAGTAGTACAATTATTAATTAAATATCAATCACATACCAAATACGAACGCAAGACCGACCAACCAGGGATAACCTTCGCATAGTTGATACTTTGATTTCGACAGATTATTATATACATAAAAATTATGAGTCTATAACTGGTATAGCCTAGACTGAACTAGTTCGGTCTGAGCCTGATAAGATATACCAGGTTGGGTTTGGTCAAACTAGTTGACCCTGATATAAACACGCATAGAACAGGGTATACTATTAAAGACTAGTGGAAAAAAAATTAATTAAAACTAATGTAGCAGATGCAAAATTAGGTACTGAAACACCATAATTGATTGCAGTACATTTTTTTATTTTAATTCAAAAATAACACGCTTGAGCGACTAGTGTCGCTTATGAAACATCAGTGGTATGCCATTTATATTCTGAACGATATCCGAAGTTGGTACGACTGGTGGTCTTCTTACTGTTTCTGGAGCTGGTGTGACAGAGAATTTAGAAAGGATGGCAGCTAACCCAGCTAATGATTGCATTAATCCAAGGCGTGCACCTGAAAAAAAAACAATTGTATTAGTTGAATAATTTTGAAAATTCTAAAACCACAATTAAATACGAAAACCTATATTTTTATTAAAATTGACCTGCCTAAGTCGCACTGATAAAAGATTATTACGAGTATACGGTGAGAAAAATTTCTATTCAAGTGTGAAAACGTAATAGATAGTCACTAGACTATCTATTACGTTGTACTAACAATAGTCTTCAAAATTGGTAATGTGGTAACTCCAGTGGCAAGTCGTATTTAAAGATGTTATATTTTATAAAAGTGTAATAAATATCAGTACAAACATAAACTTTGTAATCTTTTCTAGAACACAATCTGTAAAAAAATAATCAAATTTTTATTTCCCAAAACAATTTGGGATAGCGATATTTTAACAATTATGACTTATAAATACATTACACACATAATTGAACTAAATTTAATTGTAGAAAAGAAGATTATATGCATCACATACCAATACAGACTCGAGGTCCATCGCCAAATGCTAAATATACATCTTTTTGAACATTTGTGAACTCTTCCCTACTAAATCTTTCGGGGCGAAATTCTTCTGGATTATGCCAATATTTAGGGTCTTTATGTAAAGCTGCTACAGATATCATCATCTTTACACCTTCATTGATACTGAAGCCCAAATCTTCAAATGTGTACTTACGAGTGCATTCCCTCATTAAATAACCCAATGATGGAAATATACGCATCGCCTCCTTGAATGTCCACTCTAAATATGTCATTTCTTTAACAGCAGCATAACTTAGTTTGTTATCATGCTTCTTTAAAACTTCGTCAATCTCATTTTGAACTTTCTTCTGTATTTCTGGATGGAATGCCAGTTCATGCAGGGTGTAGCTAGAAGCAGATGATGAAGTTTCAAATCCCGCACCAAAAAATAGCATGACTTGAGCCACAATCAAATCATTAGTAAGTTCAAACTTTAATTTTTCTGGTTTACCAGTTGCTTGTAATTTCTCCATTGACTCAATTTCTATAGGGCCTTTTTGTTTATAATCTAAAAGCTGATCTATGAAATCATTTCTTCCAATCGATTTATAATTTCTACTTTGTTGAATTTTATTGACGAGGTTAAACGATCGTCTCTCAATATGACCAAAAAATTTCAAATCCTTGAATAGCACAGGGAAAAGCATTTTTAAGGTACTCGTAATAATAGTTGTGAGAGGAGGATTAAACACATCTCTGCCAAGCCTTCTAAAATCACTGTTATCGTCATTAATAGAATTACTGTCAAGTCCAAAACCACATGCGCCAATAAAATCTGTTGTAAAACGGGCCATAAGCTCACGAGCATCTATAGGAAGATTTTTTTTTACTGCCAGTAATGTTCTTTGTTGAAGACTCTCAGCTCGTTCCACAATTAGTGGAAACATAGCTTTCAGTTTGCCGCTTGTGAATGCGGGTGTCATCTGTATCCTTAACATTTTCCACAAATCTCCCTCGACGAAAAATAAGTTTTGTATCAATTTTTCAATATTTCGTTTATACGGATGGAATCCACGCCCGTAGAAGTAAGAAAAATCTGATATTAGGATCTTCTTAATTATTTCTGGATCTCTTATTATCAATTCTGGCGTAGTGGATCTAAAAAATCCGACCACTTTTTCATCGGGGTACTTAAAGTACATTTCTTCTGTTATTTCACTTCTACTTTTCAACAAAAGAAAATTTTTTAAGTTGGTCCCGAAAAAAGGTATGGGTTTGTCATGTTTAACGCCTCTCTTCTTCCAATAATCAAAGTTTCTCACATTATAAAAGTATAAACAAACCAAAGCTATTGCTATTATTGCGATTAACATTTTAATTGTTTACTTGTTCACTTTCCGAATGCTCGCATCAAACTAATTTGAAATAGAAAAAATACACACACGCACACACAGAAATATAATCGCGTTCACTATCAATGTTTATTCCTGAGCACTTAAGAGCGGTTTCGTAACATTTATGAGATAATGTTGTACATATATACATATATCTAGTTTGTAATATGGAATGCATTTAGTTGATTTTAATGATTAATTCGAGAGCTGTCAAAAACCGGCTGTTGGTCTGTTAATCGATTTAAGCATTTTAGTTGCTTTGTTTTGTGACTTTCTGGTAGAATTTGCATTAAAGCGGGCTTATTAATCACAATGTAATTTCTTTTGTTTTTAGAAATGAAGAAGTCAATGACCGATTAAAAACTTGTTCCTTAGTACGTTTTTTTATCCGAGTTGTGCTCACTCTTGACCTCAGGCTTGATAAAATTAAGCATAAGGCCTAAGATGGAACAAGTTTGCCCAGAACATACCTATTCACTCGTGTTTTAAATATTCTTGAGATGGAATACCGGGAAAACAGTGGCAGGTAGGCTATTCCACTCCTTGGCTGTGTGCATAATAAATAATGATTCAAAGCGCTTTGTTCAGATACGTGGAATGTGAACCAGGTTAGCGTGATAATTTGCTGTACGCCTGGATCCCCGGTGGTAAAAAGGTCCTAGCGGAAAGAGCCGATGCTACTAAGAAGCACACTCTCCGAAGTACAGTCTGTAGAATACCGACAGTGAAGCACTTTTTCGGCGATGAGAGATACTGTGGAGCTTGGGGTAATCGAGTTCACAGTCCCCCACAAGTTTTCTGGCTCTGCGGTCCACCGAAACGAGTGCGGCAAGCTGGTATTTTGCTGAACCATCCCAAAGGTGTGAGCAATACTCTATACACAGACGGTTTTGCGCTTTATAGAAGTTGACTAAGGGTTGAAAACACTTAATTTTTTCCATAATCTTTTTAATTTAATAACTCCGAAAGTATTTTACCTAGACATATATTTTTTTTACATCATATTATAAATTTGGCGTGAACATATAACAAAATTAGTAAATATTAGACATTAAATAAGAAATACACTATTTTGTTTTATATATAATAAAAAAGTGGTAATACTAAAGTAGAAATTTCTATGGCTGGAAAAAAGAAAATACCTCAAAATAAGGAAATACTTATGCAGCATTTTCTCAGAGTTAAGTATTATAAATAGCTCAAAAATATCGAATGAAAATAATTAATTATATTCATGACTATTTAAATACTACAAATTGCTTCGAAACTTACATAGTGATTATTAAATTAAAAGTCATTCTGACAAATGATAATAAATATCATTGACCTTAGATAATACCAACACTGTCATATCATTAAAATTTATTATATCTAGAACATTATCAATTTTGTAAATAATTATTATGATAACAATTTAGCTGATCAGCAAGTTAATAGTAGCCACCATTAATCAGAAGTTGCATAAGCGTAGCAGCATCTATGCATTTCCATCATCAAGAAAAGATTAGATTGTTTATGTAGTGAATTAAAACGATATCATTGTGTACTATTTAATTTTTCATCAAAGTTATATCCCTGTCACGATATTAATCGATATCTAAATTGCTGTTTACACAAAAGTTAAAAAATCTTACTGCTATACATCCCGCTAAACAGTTTACTAGGGATCACGCGAGCGAAGCCGCTAGAGAGAAGCTAGTCACACATAAAAATTTACAAAAACTATAGAAAAGGTATACCTATACAAATTAAAGATCTTGGAACCAGATATTAAATCAGGCTAACATGCATTTATATATTATTTGATCATGATTTTATACAGAAACGATGTGATTTGCAATGTCACGATGACGATTAATATATCTTCTTTCGACGGGCTATAAACTCTGCCTGTTTTGCGTATGGAGATTGTGTGGCCGAGATTATTCTAGACAATTCATCTTTGCCATAAAAAATACATACGTCTGTGATGGCCTTTTGGTGGTTACCCCGAAAGAAGAGGTACTTTGTTCAGGAGTTAGTGACTCCGTTGTATTCCAGCAGGACGTGAGCTGTTGTTTCTTCTTCCTCCATGCATCCTTTGGACAAGGGGCTATCAGTGACGTCTAGATTAAAAATTAAATACGTATCTAAATAAACCACTTTTGAATATCCTTACCAAAGCTCAATAATTGAACCAAGGGGATTGATCGAATAGTGGTAAAATAAAAGCCAAGAACTCTCTTTGAGTGTCCTAATTGGTCATACGTTATGCAAAGCGAATGGCTAGGGGGGGTTGAAAGATTGGTAAGTTTTCAGGATACGATGAAAATCCAGTACTTGCTTATACTATATATACATAACTTGAGATTTCAAAGACAAAATCATGTATAACGGTGTAAACTTGTTTATGTATATACTCATCCCATTAAAAAGATAGGACCATCGGTGTCGCTTCCAGAAACGCTACCAATGTAACTTCTAGATATGCGAGATCGTATATTTAACCGCCTGACCTCTAGTGAACGATTCTCCTTCAAGATTCCTTGCAAGAGCGTTCGCTCGATGCCACGGGATCCATCACCCGCCTCCTCATGCTATCTTTCATGAATATTGTGACCAAATGTGTTTTTTAAGAAGTAACTACTTATTAGTACTAGTAGTTTAGAATAGTTTAAGGTCACAATAACTCATACGTATAATTAAGATCCATCTATACAAACATGAGTCTTGTTGATATTTTTCTTATTGTTGGTCATATAAATTAAGTATTGGGAGGTCTCTATAATCTACATGCGGGTCAAATAATAACTAGTTTCCAAATTAGTGTCCTTAGTGTCAAAGTTAAGGTTCATCGGTATAAGATAAAGTATTTGTTTTATTAGATGTTAACATTACTGTTAGAGAGAAGGTTAATAAATACATGATTTTTTTAAATCGGAAACAACAAAAGTAAAACAATCTAACTTTCTTTAATAATAGTGACTTAACTTATTTTGAATAAATGTATTTTATAACGGATAAGATATCACTATAATAAAACCAACATTCTAAGGAAGCATATTCTTAAGAAAAATGCCTAAAAAATCCACTTTGAGTAGTCTCATCTCATAGTGCCAGAGACAAAGTGGATTTTAAGAATTTTTCGTAAAGAATATTTTTCAGTTCAGCATTGAGAATGCAAAATTGATAAAATATAATTAAGTTAATAAATGAATATAATAAAAAAGTATTTAGTCTACTGAAAATATCTTCCTCTTCTTTATGGTAATATCGGTTGAGTTTTATCATGTTATTCTACCATATTCGTTTTTATTGACAATATCTTTTGCTGTCTTTCAATTTCTTTAAAGATCCCGGAACATTGTAAGGGTCAATGTTCACTTGAGCCTAAATTAGAAAAATAAACATTGACATAATTCACAGCAGCTGACTATCGAATTATGACACTAATGTCATCAACTGATCGCAGTCGTTAACTCTCACCAAAAAGTGGGTCAACTCACGTGGAGGGCCATAGCTCCCTATTCTATCAGATGCGATTCTATCCACAGGGGAGGCCTCAGCCCCAGAAGTGGGGACATCGATAGGCTGGTGATGATGATGATGATGATATGGCATAAATATCGTTTACTTAATTTGTTCCTTGTATTTCAAACCCACGAATATCTTACCATTGCAGTATCTAAGTAGTTACTTAATTTGCATTTGTGGATATATAATGATAAAACAATATTTCGTTCAAAGTTCGATTTCTAAATAAATAACACAACAAATCATAATACTGACAGATAGTAGACTGTGCGTGTGTCGGCGGAAGTTCGATTCCCACAGATCAATGATTTTATTTCAATGATACATATGCTACATGTTGTTTTACGATTTCATGGTCATTTACATTAGAATTATTGTTTGATAAAACTATCATACAGAGTAGAGCAGCATACTCTTGCATTTTCGCTCATTTCAATACTGTTATTAATTTCATGATTTATTATTATTAAGTTAGAATATGATTTGAATGTCAAATATATGTTAATTTTATTTGATTGTCAGAAATATATATTATAAAAGAAAGGTCATTATAAATTAGATTTTAAAATATTTTTAGAGCTTGTCAGAAAAATAAAGTTTGAATGCATAATCAATTTTTATATGACATTGTATTTTGTCCAATGATTTTTAGCAATCTTTTGTTTGGAGTTTTATTGGATCATTTGGACGACGCATCACTGCATAGTATAAAACAAAGTCGCTTTCTCTGTCCCTATGTATGCTTAAATCTTTAAAACTACGCAACGGAATTTGATGCGGTTTTTTTATATAGATAGGTTGATTCAAAGGTAAGGTTTTTATGTATAATACAAGACCATGCGAGCGAAGCCGCTGGCGGAAAGTATTCATATATGTTAGTCTTTATGTGGCTTCTTAACACATAGAACCCGCAAGACCAAAATTGTTATTCAGAACAGATTAACTTTTTATTTTTTCGATAAATGAATTTCCGTATTAACCGAATAAGGGTACTTCTTGCGTAAAGTAATTTTTTTCTCCGTAAGCTTTTGTTCGCTAGTGAATAAGATCCTTTATAGGCGAAACAAAATAATATCACCCACGACCTCTTTCAATTTGATTTAACCTTTATATCCATCACACCCGTTACATTTTGTCGCAAACGTCGTTACAAACTCATTTCTGCAAAAGGAAAAAGTGTTGAAATTAACTTTCATCCCAACCCTATTATATCGTACTGGGCCAATGAAATGTGCGTACGCAATAAAATTAAGCTGTCGCAAGTAGTGTAATCTAAAGGCAGAGGAATAACAAATTATCCATTAATTTAAATCTAAGAAATGCAAATGAACTCTTTGTAATTAAAAAATTAATCAATAAGAAAGAATTTTTAAAGTCTATTATTTTAAGATAGTATAATATTACCTCATTTACAGCTTTTTATCCAGCTCTGAGGACTTTCATTTTAGTGTTGATAAGTTTTTGTT